GTAATCTCATGTCAAATCGACTTGAATTTGTGGAAGTACTGAGCAATCGTCATGTCCAGTTGTAAAATTGATAACACCTCATTCTCCAGAAGTTCTAGCCTCGTATTGTTCTTCTTTGAGAACAGCATCACGAATGTGTTTCATGCTTCTTTCGGTGTCTTGTCATCCCAAATATGCTCTAACATCTCTTCTTCGATTGTGGTCTTCAAGGAAAATATTGTTTTGCCTGCTTTGATTCTCCATTTGCACATGGCGTTGTTAAAATCCTCCTCTAGGGCGTAGTTTCACTCCCACCAACGATCTCCCAAAGGTCATATCCTTGTAAATAAGACATCATGCATGGTGCCGATGTGATATAGTTGTTGTTTTTGAGTTTTTTGATTCCTCTAACGATTTGGAAATTACCATCATGTTGGCAAGTATTACCAACAAGCCTTTTCGACACAAAACTTGCAAAGTCGCGAACTACTCGCAGAGACAGAAACTCACCCACTAATAATTTCAAGAAACCGTTTTTGATGTCGAAGGTCAAACTGAGTTGCAACCATAGGGCATACTAAAAATTTTAGGAGATCACATAGACTACACTAACTTAGCTCTAATACCAGATTATTGAACACAACTACTACAAGATACTCGATACCAATGGAGAAAAAAATTACAAGATACTCTGCAAAACTACTACATTCTGTGTTGCGTATTTCTTTTGGGATGAAAACATTGGTATTTATTGCAGATGGTAGACCATTTATTCCTAATATATCTAACCATTTATACCTAAACTACCTAAATAATTTTCCTAAAATGATTAGGTACATTTATTACTAAAGTATCTAAATCATTTTGGTAAATATGCAGGTATTTTTATTCTTGAGATACCCCAATTATTTTTCTAAAAGGTATAAATAATGAGCTCATACGATTATTGGGCTTGACCTTGTTGGACTAGTGATGATATTTTAACAAGTCGGAAACATTTTTTTTGCACTAGATAAATGGAGTCAGGGACGAGATTATATTCTCCCATCCCTGCCCCCATCCAATTTCTCGTCTCAACCCTCTTTAATATATATAGTTAATTTTGGAACTCTAATTTTAATATTTATTAAAAAAATATTGTACAATTTTTTAATAAATATTATATTGAGTTTTTTTATAATAACTATTTTCTTTAAAGAATAACAAACCGCTAAGAATTGCTTGCACCGAATTCCCACCTCGGATCTTCACAAAAATAAGTGTGAAATTTTGCGAAAGTAGAGAATGAAAATAGGTTGCAGGAAGGTTTTCGAGACAATATACTTTCAACCATCTTAATTCATCGGCATTCTAAAAATGCCCCGGACATGACATGTCTTATTAGGAAGAAAATCTCACCGATCATGTTGTAAATTTTCACAAGTTTTGATTTGATTTGGTTGTTTGGATTAGATTTGATTGGTTATTTTGATTAGATTTGGTTATTTGAATGAGAGTTAGTCCTACCAAATTTAATCATATCCCAGATTTGATTATGTAATGTTATATAATAGGTAATAGCTAATTTTGTGATAGTGAGGTATTCATTTGAAACGCTTTGTTTGATTAGTGATTGGTTGCTATCTGTGGATGTAGGGAAATCTCTTCTCTCCGAACCACGTAAATATCTTGATGTCTCCTTGTGTAACTCCATTCATTGGTGTTGTGAGTACATTTGTTCCGTTTTTGGCGCATAACAAGTTGTATCAGAGCTAGATTGTGGTATTTGAGGTATTGTGAAAGTTTTGGCCTCATCGACCACTAGACGTGCTCACAATCGTGCTTATTTTCTTGAAAATAGCAGAATCATCTGGAATTAAATCATGGCGTCGATCCATATTTTTGAGTTCTAATCTCGAGGTAGAGAAATTTGATGGAACCAATAATTTTGGTGTAATGCAGAATCATCTAGAATTAAATCACGGCGTGGATCAAGAATTTTGAGTTCTAATCTCGAAGTAGAGAAATTTGATGGAACCAATAATTTTTGTATTTAGCGAGGTGGAGTTAGCGATTTGCTCGTCATGCAAGATCTTGATGCTTCTCTCCAAGAGGTGATGCCTGAAGACAGACAGAATCAGGATGGACGAAATTAAATCGGCAAGCTTGTGGAATTATTCGATCCTGTCTTGGCAAGGATTAGAAATATCCATTTATGAAGGTAACCATGGCGAAAGAACTATGAGGCAAGCTTGAGGCGAAATATATGCAAAAGAGTGGAAAATAAACTCTATTTGAAGAAGAAACTCTTCCGTTTTGACTACATGAAAGGTATCTCAATGGCTGAGCATTTGGATGATTTTAACCAAAGCATCACTGATTTGCTCAATCTTGATGTTAAGATTGATGATGAAGACAAGGCGTTGTTGTTATTAAATTTTTTGCCGGAGTCCTACAAGTTTTTAGTAACCAAACTGCTGCATGGAGCCTATGTTATTGATTTTGAAGATGTTTCAAATGCCTTGATGAATAATGAGGTGCGAAAGAAGAAAAATGAGGCATATCAAGATTCTAGCTCAAATGTTCTCACGGCTCGTGGAAGGACTTCTACTGGAAAAAAAGCGAACATGGAAAGTCTCAATCAAAGTCGAGAGGTAGATCTGATAATTGGAGAAAACTTGATAAAAAAATGAGTGTGCATATTGTCGACAGAAAGGTCATTGGAAGAAAGATGGCCCGATCTTAAAAGAGAAGGGGTCGAAGTCCAATGTGGTTAGAGATGACGACACTGATACAGATAATGCCTTTACGATCTCCTTATCAGTCAGCCAAACAAGTGAATGGATTCTTGATTCTGGGTGCTCCTATCATATGTGTTACAACAGAAAGATGTTTTTGGATTTCACAGAGTTCAATGGTGAAGTTGTCTATATGGGCAATGATAGTACTTGCAAGATGACGGGAATCAGCTTAGTATAAATCAAGATGTTTGACGGGGTTATACGAAAACTCAATGATGTGAGGTATGTCCCTAACTTGAAGAAAAATTTGATTTCCCTTGGCGTTTTGGATGGAGTGGTTATCATATCATTTTGGAAGGAGGGAGGTTATCATATCATTTTGGAAGGAGGGAATTTGAAAGTAGCTCGTGGAGCTTTGGTGGAAATTAAAGAAACTAGAAGAGGTAGCATATACTACCTCAACGGAACCACGATAATTGGGCATGCTGCTATGGCAAGTTCGAAAGAACAAGACATATCGAAATTATGGCACATTAGACTTGGGCATGCGGGTGAGAAGACGCTTCAGACATTGGTGAATCAAGGAGTTCTTAAAGGTGCCACAAATGGTAAAATTGATTTCTGTGAACTTGTATATTTGGTAAATAAAAAACTGTGAAGTTTGGTACAGTTATACACCAAACAAAGGGCATTTTGTATTATGTTCACATTGATATATGGAGTCGCACGAAGAATGTCTCATTGGGAGGAAAGAGATAGTTTGTCACCTTTATTGATGACTACTCGAGAAAAGTTTGGATGTATCCCATGAGGCACAAAAACGAGGTTCTCCAAATCTTCCTAGAGCGGAAGAAAATGGTAGAGAATCAGACAAATAAGAAAATCAAAAAGCTGAGATCAGACAACGGTAGAGAATATACTTATGATTCATTCCTTAAAGTATGCCAAGATGAAGACACTTCGGTAAGCCACAACAAAATGGAGTTGCTGAAGAGAAAGAACTATACATTAATAGAGAAGGTTCGATGCATATTGTCTCAAGCAGAATTGAGTAAGGCTTTTTGGGCTGAGGTTCTCAGTTATGCAGTTCATTTGGTGAATCATTTACCTGTTTCTGGAAATGGTGGGAAAACTCCACTTGAAGGATGGTCAAGTACTCCTATTAGTGAGCTTATTATCATGTGACAGACTCAAAACTAGATCCTAGAGCAAAAAAGGTCTAAGTTTATGGGCTTTAGCAAAGGCGTGAAGGGCTATAGGTTATGGTGTCCAAAAACAAGATTGTTAATAGTCGAGATGTGACATTCGATGAGTCTAGAATGTTTTTGCAGAAAATTGAAAATAATGACGAGGCATTGAAGCAGGTGGAGAAAGTGGTGTTCTCTCCTGATATGGTTGCACCTACTGAAGAACCTATTAATCAGATAGATAATAACTCTTGATGTCTTAGAACAGGAGCAAAGCCCTGTAAATGAAAGAGTTGAGGAACGTGAGTCCATGCCAAGAATAGACCACGAAGGGAAATTCGAAAACCTGCTAGATTTGATGATACGATAGCACATGCTTTCTCTATGATTGATGGAGTTCCCAACGGTTACAAAGATATCAAAGTTCGGATAGCTTACACTGGCAACAGAATTAAATCAACCTTGAGATTTGGTACAACTTAACAAAGGTAAGAAAGAAATTGGTTATAAATGAGTTTACAAAGAAAAAGAAAATTCTTTTGAGATGGTGGCAACGTGTACTTAAGATCTTATGAGATTGTTGTAAATTATCATAAGCTCTGATCTGATTGATTATTTTGATTAATTTTGATTTGGTTATTTGAATGAGATTTAGTCCTACTAGTTATATTGGAGATTTGATTATGTAATGTTACATAATAGGTAATAGCTAATTTTATTCGAGAATAGAATGAGAGATTTCTCCCTCCATTCCTAACAAGTGGTATCCGGATTTGGGGGAGTTTTGTGTGTCACATCCTATTTTTTGAGTGACATATTGGTGAAAGTTTTTGTAGTGTGATAGTGAAGTATTCACCTAGAAACGTTTTGTTTGATTAGTGATCGGTTGCTACCCGTGGATGTAGAGGAACCTCTTCTCTCCGAACCACTTATGGTGTTGTAAGTATATAATTCTGTTCATTGGTATTGTAAGTATATTTGTTTCGCTTCTGCCCAGAACGAGGAAAATATCACAGGTTTGAATCTTTAGGAAAAAAAATCAATTTTTGAAAAACAATTATGAAGTAATAATAATTTTGAAATAATAAAAATAATAATAATAATAAAACGTGGGCTCCAAGCTGCTTCCCTGACATATATAGCGTATGGGTTTCTGATTGAATTGGCCGCTCAATCTCCAACACACAAAAAAAATGGAGATTTGGTTCGTCGCCATCGTCTCCCTCTGCGTCTGCTCTCTTCTAACCTCCATTTTTACCCATTTCCAAAGCTCCACCAATCTCCCACCAGGCCCTCCTTCAATACCCATCATCACAACTTTCCTGTGGCTCCGCCAATCGCCTCTCCAAATTGAATCTCTCCTCCGCAGTTTCGCCGCCAAATATGGCCCCGTCGTCACCCTCCGCATCGGCAACCGCCCCACCATCTTTATCTCCGACCGCTCTATTGCTCATAAAGCCCTCCTCCAAAACGGTGCTCTCTTCGCCGACCGTCCACCGGCTCCACCCATGAGCAAGATCATCTCCAGCAACCAACACAACATCAGCTCCGCCTCTTACGGCCCACTCTGGCGCCTCCTACGTCGCAATCTCACTTTCCAAATCCTTCATCCTTCTCGGGTTAAGTCCTATAATCGAGCTCGCAAGTGGGTTTTGGATATTCTTCTTAATCGGCTTGTTTCTCATTCGAAATCTGAAACTCCCGTTACCGTCATCGATCATTTTCATTACGCTATGTTCTGTTTGTTGGTGTTGATGTGCTTTGGGGATAAGCTTGAGGAACCCCAGATTCATGAAATTGAAAACGTACACCGAGCTATGCTGTTGAGCTTTCGCCGTTTCAACGTCCTTAATTTCTGGCCGAAATTGACGAAGATTTTGCTCCGTAAGCGCTGGGAGGCGTTCTTCGAAATCAGAAGAAATCAGGAGAAAGTCATCATCCCTTTGATTGAAGCAAGAAGGAAGGCCAACCAAAACAGAGTAAACAGAGAAAGCAGAGCCGAAACTGAAGAAGATTTCGTGGTGTCATATGTGGACACACTCCTCGATTTGGAGCTTCCCGACGAGGACAATAGAAAGCTTACCGATGAGGAGATTGTGACCATATGCTCGGAATTCCTCAACGCCGGCACCGACACGACGTCCACGGCCTTGCAGTGGATAATGGCGAATTTAGTGAAATACCCAGAAATCCAACACAAGCTTTTTGCAGAGATGAAAGGAGTAATGGGGGATGGAACAGGGGAGGAGGTGAAGGAAGAGGATTTGGGGAAGCTTCCATATCTGAGAGCTGTGGTTTTAGAAGGATTAAGAAGACACCCACCAGGGCATTTCGTGTTACCACACGCAGTGAAAGAAGACACGGTGTTGGAGAATTACGTGATACCAAAGAACGGAACTGTAAATTTCATGGTGGCGGAGATGGGTTGGGATCCGGAAGTGTGGGAAGAGCCGATGGCGTTCAAGCCGGAGAGGTTCATGAAGGGCGGGGAAGAAGAAGAAGTGGCAGGGTTTGATATAACAGGGAGCAAGGAGATAAAGATGATGCCGTTCGGCGCAGGGAGGAGGATGTGCCCAGGATTCGGTCTGGCAATTCTTCATTTGGAGTATTTCATAGCCAATCTGGTTTGGAGGTTTGAATGGAAGGTGGTGGAGGGCGACGGCGTCGATCTGTCGGAGAAGGCGGAGTTCACGGTGGTGATGGATAAGCCTCTCAAAGCCAACATTCATCCCAGGTGAATTTGCCCTCCTCCCTATGTATAAAATAAAATAATATCATGTAACACCCATCCGTCGGTTATCTAGTAGATATCATCTTTAGAAGAATTGAATATGCTATCGGTCATTCTCAATGTGTTTATGATGTAGCACCAAATAATCCTACCTAGTGTGTATTATCTTTAGAAGAATTGAATATAGTTCAGGTCATTCTCGATGTACTTATAATGTAATACCAAGCGGTCGATTACGTAGTGTATATCATCTTTTGGAGAATTAAGTATGGAACAGATCATCTCCGATGTGCTTATGATATAGCACCAAGCGAACGATTACCTAGTGTGCATCATCATTAGAAGATTCGAGCACAAGCTAGGAAAAGATTCCATTTTAGCCTCTCCTACCATACTTTAAATCAACTTCTCTTTATCACCAATAATATATTTGGCTACCCTCGAGCCACTTGGCCCAATAGTATGGTGCTACATATTAATTAAAATTTTATCTTTTTTTTCTTTTTTAATATTTAATTTTTTATTTACTTTTCACATTTACAAAATACCATTTCATTTGGAATGTTTGTCGGATACACACTCCAATACTTGAATTAAAGATAGAGAGAAATTTAGGGCTCGAGCAAATTTAGGGTTCGAGTACATAACAAATTCAGGGCTCGAGCACATAGGCTTGGACTAATGTGCTCTTTTAGGCTTTTGACACCTTTTTTTATATCTCCAAAGACCTAATACACTCAATTTAAAGTATATTTCTTCGGATTTATAAGTATGAAATCATCGTCATGTATCACGTAATAATAGTAGATTTTAAGTGGCCTAAATATGACATGAACTATAAAAAACAATAATAAAATAAGGCTATAGGTCATGTGTCATAGAGTTATATTTTTCAAATGGTGTTGTGTGTACTTTTTAAGTTGTGTGGTGTGACATATTCAAGCTTTAATGGAAACTTAGCATGACCACACATATAGGTTTATTAAATTTCAAAATAAGTGAACTCAAAATAGCCACCACACACTCGATCGTTTACCCACATAATTATCTTCTAGAATGGATCAAACCAAAGAAGAATCGCAAGACCAATTGAATCATGAATCAAAGAAGAAACATAATCACAAATTTTGGAGGTGATAATGATTTTGTAAATTCAGTAGATGTTAGAGACGCTCTAATTCTTCGCCTAGATAGTACAATTACATCCTAGATTATTGATTAAAGTGTATCTTTACATTTGTCTTTGAGAGCATAGAGTTATTTCAAAATTTCAGATTTAGAAATTTCGAAAATGTGTATCGACTGACAACCACAACCAGACTTTGGAGTTGAATATTAGTAGATATTGAAGAGGTTAGATATATTTTTAAATCTCAATAAGAATCTGATCTTTGTTGGTCGGTTGGAATAGGTTATATATCAGAGTTTGAAAAGAGTTCATAGAAGATTGTGAATGGTAGTAGATGGTAACGTGACATAAAATTTGGAAACATATACATTATTGCAGGTGTATAAACATGGTTGTTATTGCTGAAAGTGCTTCCAGGTCAAGTCTATGGTACAATAGACTTTGAGCGTTAGAGAAACGAAGGAGATGATGTTATGGGCAAATAGAAAAAAGTTAGCTTCATAACTATTGTCTATGGTTCTATTGAATTCGTATTCATATCCATTACTTGAATATCAGTGTGAAACATCATTAGATTAACTAGTCAACCTAACCACGAATTCCTGGTCTTAACATGATACTAGTTCATTAGAATTATCTTTGTGTGCACACAATAATTATCTAGAATCATCATACAAAATTCATGCAAAATAAACACACCTGCTCAACAAAGCGATAACATCCATCAAGCACCTGGAGCGCATATCACAATTCTCATCCACCTTTCAGCATGAATTAAACATATATATATAACATAAATATAAAATATAATTGCATCAGTCAGACTCTGCTCTTTTGTCTAACATTTCCACACATATAGGGTGTCCAAAAATAGTGATTTTCTTCAATTAGGTCCCTCACGCGCTTAGGGAGGCACCTACTCGCAGCTGTCATGCGTGAGTACCACAAGCAGGCGAGTTTTGCAAATGCGAGTCGTTGGATCGGTTCTAGTCGATTCGATTAGGTCTGTTAGATTTAGTTTCCTTTGAACTGTAGGTCGAGTCCGGTTTGGTCTCGAGTAATGGATCAGTTCGGGTCGAACCCCGTGAGTCGAATTAGTGTTACAGAAGTTGCGTCTCTCTTCGGCTCGAGTCGCGTTGCTCCGTTCAGCATTTGACATGTTGCTCAACGCAGCAAGCAACGCATGTCCCTTGCCTGGCTGAATGCGAATCTCTTCGCAACAGTTGACACGTGGCTCAATGAAATTTTCTCTCCTCCTTATAGTCGTAAACATAGAATCCTATTAGGTTTTCTTGAAATTTACATTTTTATATCTTTCGATTTTTAACTCAAATCAAGACAATTTCTTCAGCAAAGTTGAAGATCCCAATCCCGACTACGTCATGATATTTTTTTTCATGGATTTTAACTCCAACACCTCACTCTCCAAAGTTTCGCCCTAGGTCCAAGATTTCAGCCAAGCTCCTTCATGGAATCTGTGGAGCATCCTCCCTAGATAAACATATCAAAATATTAAATCTCAATTCGCAAGATAAAGGCTCGAATATGAGAAAAATCCCTCAAAATCTTACCTTATGAATTCAGGATTTTCTTAACAGGATAGGACTCCAACCTCTCAAACCTATCTATCGTTCCAAGAAAAGAGTTCTTGCAAATAGATCGTGGTTGGAAGCGATTTCCAGCAGTGGTCCGGTGAGATTTCGAGCAGCTCTTTCTTCCTTCTCTCTTCAAATTCTCTCAACTCTCTCTCTCATTTTTTTCCTCTTATGCAGTCATAGGACATTCATGGACTCGTACCGTGGCTTTAAGGGAAAATTTCCCCTCAATTGACTTTGACTAAGAATGTTTTTATTACAAATGCACAAATCCATGCAACGACGATGCTAGTAGTGGTTACGACCATGGTTGTTTCACCGACTTCTGTGGTGAGGAGTTTGAGTTTTACTAAAATGTACGAGAGAAGAAGGAAAAGCAATGATGTGAAGAGCAACACTCAGGAATACAATAAACTAGTCATAGCCAAACTTGTCATCTCCGTCAACGGTCATTGAAGGATTAAGATGACATTGATGTCGGAGAGGAAGGAGACAAAGATTTTCACGAGATGACCCTAAAAGTCCTTCACTCGCAATAATAAATAGGGAACAAATCGAGCTCAAAACAAACCACTACCAACCATCAGTTCAAAAATGAGAGTACTCAATTCTACAAAATTTATTTCAAATGAACTTTATTTTAATCAAAAGCCAACGTACATAGTATAATCATGCACCGTGATTGAACTCCATTATTAAATTGAATAAAACAACATAATCATAGAATTCATTTTTTTAAGTGTGAAATATCGTCATGTTTAAATAGATTTTAAGTGACAAAGTTATTAGTTTTAGCTAAACATGACCCGTACTCTAAAAAATAATAATAAAATAAGGTCATAACAATTGTAATTTTCAAACTATGCAATGTGACACGATCAAGGTGTAAGGTTACAACGATTGTACTTTTCAAACTATGATGTGTGACACGTTCAAGCTCTAAGGTTACAACAATTATACTTTAAAAACTATGCGGTGCGACACATTCAAGCTGTAAGGTTACAATGATTATACTTTTCAAACCGTACGGTGTGACACATTCCTGTTAGTAATAACAGGTCTCCACAATGGTATGATATCTCTCTTAGAAGACTCCTCGCATGTAGCCAAGACAAGCAAACTAATGTAAAATGAGCTAACTTGCGCTCAACAACCCCATTTTGTTGCGGAGTTCCTGGAAATCTCATGCTCCTTGCAATATTCCATAAAATCATTTGAAAGAAATTTGCCTCCATTATCATTACGCAAGCACTTGATTTTCAATTTAAATTCTTTTTCCATAGCATGCTTAAACTAAATAAACTTTGAAAAACTTCACTTTTGTGTTCTAAGAATTATACCCAACTGAAGTGAGAGAAATCATTGTAACGACCAATCTTCGAAAATACCGAATCACCGGCGCCACGTGGACTCAAGAGTAGAAAAAAAAACTTTTCAGTACTTATTTAGTTTGAACACGAGACTAAAATTAAAAGTTGCCTGATATACATTTCAAAAAAAATACTAAACACATAACTAAAAAAAAATTGTAGTTTGAACCGGGGACTAAAAGTAAAAAGTTGGTGATATACATTTCAAAAAAAAAAAAAAAATGCTACAAAACACATAATGAAAAGAAAAAAAAAATCCGCGGGATCACATAAAAAGAACCGGTTACAAAATTTCGCAAGTTTTCCAAAAACGTCAAAATCATAACCAAAACGACATGGGAGAAGAGGACTCAATCTAAGGGCCCCCTTCTGCAGCTGTACGACTCCACACGTCCCCACCACCGACCCAGATCTACTTTTCTCCTGAAAAAAAATAGCAAACAACACAGAATGAGTATATAAACAATACACAGTAAGCAACTTACTCGTAAGCTCTTGTCGAACTTAGCCCTATTCACCGGATCTTAAGTTTTGAGCTCCAATAGTCACTAGTCAGAGACCTAGTGGTACCTGGCAACATCTAACTGTTCCTAAGATCAGTAACTACCTGCCAATGTGTCTCGCTAGGCCGGGTCATTCACTACCTATCTTACGCCCTTGTCGGCTTAGATCAGTAAAACTACCTGTCTTAGGAACAGTAACTACCTGTCACTATGTCGCTCGGCTGGATCAGTAAAAGGCCATGGCTCGTCCCACTAAGCACCTCTGACGTGTTAACACAGTAATATACTATGATTACCCTCAACCCCTTGTGGGTGACTACAAAAACGGTACATTGTCATTATGTGCTTCATAACTTATAATAACTAGCACCTAATAAATGATCAAACTCCCACAATGGGCTACCCAAGCCCCATGCCGCATGCCCAATGTCTAACAAAGAACCACGACAACAACACGTCGCCATGCTAAGTCAATAATAACCATAATAACCATCTAGCTCAACATAAAAACATATCATTTCATATGCCTATACGAAATTTCACATTCATGCCAACGAAACTATATAACCATAACGACAACCAAAGTACAACCACACACATTATCGAAGTACCACTTTCATGAACTAACTTTATCCATTTCTAAATACCTTACTAAATTGTTTGGCCACAAATTCAAATCGACTCCTACAAGCAATTACTAAAAAACTTGCTCTAGATGGTTACTTACTCATCGTAAACTTCCCAAAACTTTATCGAGTCTTCAAGTGTCCTCTTGACTAAGCTTGAAATTTTCTTATAATAAGGCATTTATGGAATGTGTGAGTCAAGTACATAAATCTGATTAAAGACAAATCAGATGGTGTGAAATGGGAAAACAAATCGAGTTTCGGTTCTGTACATGTGGGTTGGGTCGGGTCGAGTCGTGCCCCCTCAGTTTTCGGCCTCTTCTTCCCACCTTCTTCTTGATCTTTCTTTTCTCTCGACACCCCATATCTTCTTCTTCACAAGGACTCACCAACTTCCCTTGACAATAACCTAGGCATATCGATCCTGTGAAATGTTTTAGGGTTTTGGAAAACAACGAAAATCACACCACTAGGACTTACCGTCGACGTTCTCCCTTCCTCAACCATTCGGCCCACCGTTTCTAACGAACGCTTCAAGCTTCGTCGTTCATCTCCACCGCTCCACCTTCTCCTCTGACTTCTTCTTCTTTCTTCTTTTTTTTTTTTTCTTTTCTTTCTTCTTTCTTCTTTCTTCTTTTCTCTTTTCTCTTTTCTCCATGCGTTTTTTTTTACCTTAAAGAGTAGTACAACTGGCATTTCTCTCTCCTCACTTATTGCCAGTTGTACGGCTCTTACAATCATCCACAAACACCATCACGTAATGAAGGCCGGTATAGCTTATTGTTCGCATCGGTCCCAAAAGATCAGAATGAATCAATTCCAATACTGTTGAAGCTCTACTCTTTGAGCTTGTGAAAGAAAGACGATGAGATTTGTCATATTGGCAGCCTGGACAAACCTCATCATGCTGAATATCTTTAAAGTCAGGAACACCATCAAGAAGTTTTTTTGGGGATATTTTCTACAACAACTGAAAACCCACCTGACCGAAACGAGCATGCCAACGAGTTGAGCTTGCATTATGACCAACTTTCTTGATATATTCATCACTAGCTTATGAAACATACAAAGATTCTTTTCTTTTTCCATAAAACTGGATATGAGCATCAACATGTTTCACATTAGAGAGTATTTGAACATCTTTAGGACAAAAAAGAACATACCTTCCTAAATCTGTTATTTGTGATACAGAAGCAAGATTTTTCTTCAAACCAGGAACATGATAAACGTCCTTGAGTAGAACACTCTCATCATTCAAATCTCCTTCTTTCGTCAGAGGATGCATTGAATTATCAGCTGTCACAATGACCTTCTTTTGACAATGTGGACGAACGTCTAATAGAAGAGTTTCGTTTCCAGTTGCATGATGAGAGCAGCCAGAATCGACAATTCATTCTTTATTGTAGTCTATAAAGGCATGAGCATTTGCAGAGACATCATCTTGGTGTACAGCTGAAGTCACATTTGTTGGCTGGTCAAGAATCTCAGTGGTTAAGTCGTGTTCCCAAATTGGATTGGAAGAACTTTTACTTTCATGTACAACATTTACTTCTGATTCTTGCATTTTAACTCAGTAATTTGGCTTGATATGGTCTGACTTTCCGCAACGATAACACACCACTTTCACCTGACAATCTTGTTTAAAATGACCAGGTTTTCCACATCTATAACAAGCTTTAAATGACTTCTTTGACGACTTCTCATTTCTGAGTTGATTCTCATTGCTTGATGAAGGTTTTGAATGAAAATTCTGTCTCCTTTAATCTTTGACATACAACACACCTTCGACTTTAGGGAAAGCTCATTTTGCTAGTCATTTGCTTAATGAAGGCTTCCAAATTGGAAAGAAGATTTTTCAATTCAATAACTGTGAAGGCTTACTTGCCCACCCATGTATTGAGGAAATAAAGGGTATAAAATCTTTTTGTAATCCACGAATGAGATTAAGCCGTAATCGAGCATCACTCACTGGCTCCACAGCATCTAATTCTAAAATTTCAGAACACAGATTTTTCACTTTCAAGAAATATTCTTCAATAGAAAAATTATCTTGAGTTAACATAGCTAGTTCATTCTCTAGAAATTGCAATCGAGCAGTATTTTTCTTAGTGAACAACTTTTGAAGTGTTTCTCATACTTGCTTTGGTGACTTTAAATCACAAACATGATCAATATATTCCTTGTTAATCAAAGTTCCCAAGGTAAATTAGGCTTTTCCACATTTGTTCTCCCATTGTCGGCTTAATTCTATATTCGGTGGAGTATCTGCTGGAATTTCTATATATCACCCCAATTAAATTCTACAAATCTTGCCATTGTAGATAAGCTTCCATACATAACTTCCAATAACTATAGTTATTGCCAATAAGCTTTTCCATAACTACACCCAGGAGCAGTTCCACCCTTCATCTCCTTTGAGTAATAATATCAAACTCTTGTCACTAACTTGCTCTGATACCAACAGATACAATATCTACCACTCAAAAGTGTGAATAGATAATAAAATATTATTACTCAACTAAAAGAATACATATTTAAGAATAAATAAAATTGGGATGGAAGGTTCAATCTTGATATTCACCACCTTTAAATAGGATACAAGATATTAACTAATATCTACGGACTAAATCTTGAAAATAAAATAAAATATACTACAAATCAAATTTAACTAATTATAAATATCTGAAATATATTTTCAAACTGATATAGTCTTCAAATATTAAATGATTACCAATATCATATATTACAATAACTTATTTAAATTCGAAATAAGTTGCACTAAATTATGACAGTTACTTATGGCAAATAAGTAAACTCAAATTATCCCCGGGAATGGATTCTTGCCTTCAGAGGCTTTTTCATGACAACCGTAAGCTCTAACTTCTCCGACAGATCAACTTCGTCTCCCTCCACGGCCTTCCATTCCGACCGCCAAACCAAATTAGCAAGGAAATACTCCAAATGAAGAATCGCCAGACCAAATCCTGGGCATATCCTCCTCCCTGCTCCAAACGGCATCATCTTTATCTCCTTGCTCCCTGTTATATCAAACTCCGCCACTTCTGCTTCTTCTTTCCCTCCTTTCATGAACCGCTCCGGCATAAACGTCGCCGGATCTTCCCACACTTTTGGATCCCAACCCATCTCCGCCACCATGAAATCTACCGTCCCATCCTTTGGTATCACGTAATTTTCCAACTCTGTTTCTTCTTTCACTGCGTGTGGTAACACGAAATGCCCTGGTGGGTGTCTTCTTAATCCTTCCAAAACCACCGCTTTCAGATATGGAACCTTCCGCAAATCCTCTTCCTTCACCTCCTCCCCTGTTCCATCCCCCATTACTCCTTTTATCTCTGCAAAAAGCTTGTGTTGGATTTCTGGGTATTTCACTAAATTCGCCATTATCCATTGCAGGGCCGTCGACGTGGTGTCGGTGCCGGCGTTGAGAAATTCCGAGCATATGGTCACAATCTCCTCATTGGTAAGCTTTCTATTTTCCTCGTCGGGTATCTCCAAATCGAGAAGTGTGTCCGCATATGACACCACGAATTCTTCTTTTTCTTCTTCAGTTTCGGCTCTGTTTGCTCTGTTTGCTCTGTTTACTCTGTTTTGATTGGCCTTCCGCCGAGCTTCAATCAATGGAATTATGACATCCTCTTGGTTCTTTCTTAGTTGGAGAAGCGTCTGCCAGCGTTTTCGGAGCAAAAACTTGGTGAATTTAGGCCAGAAATTGAGAACATTGAAACGCTCAAAACTCAATACAACCGCTCGCTCTACGTCCATGATTTCCCTGATATGGGATTCGTCAAGCCTATCCCCAAAGCACATCAACACCAACAAACAAAACATGGCGTAGTGAAAATGATCGATGACGGTAACGGGAGTGTCAGATTTCGAATGAGAAACAAGCCGATTAATAAGAATATCCAAAACCCACTTGCGAGCTCGATTATAGGACTTAACCCGAGAAGATTGAAGGATTTGGGAAGTGAGATTGCGGCGGAGGAGGCGCCAGAGTGGGCCGTAAGAGGCAGAGCTGATACTGTGTTGGTTACTGGTTAAGAGCTTGCTAACGGGTTGCGCCGGTGGTCGGCCGGAAAACTGAGCACCGTTTTGGACGAGGATCTTGTGGGCAATTGAGTGGTCGGCGATGAAGATGGAGAGGCGAGAGCCTCTGCGGAGGGTGACGATGGGGCCATATTTGGCGACAGCGGTGCGAAGGTAAGACTCCAATTGGAGATTGGATGTGCGGAGCCATAGGAAAGTGGAGATGATGGGGATTGAAGGAGGGCCTGGTGGAAGCTTTGTGGAGCTTCGAAAATGGCTTAAAATGGAGCTTAGAACATAGCTGATGCAGAGGGAGACGACGATGATAAACCACATCGCCATTTTCTCTGCTTGTTATTTTTGTTGAATCCAATCAAAATACTCATACCCACATATAACATATATATATATAGATATATATGCAAGTAATATGTATGTATATTCCAACTCGTCCCATTTTGAAACATTCATGAAAAATGAAGAGTAATATCGTAATTCGGTCAAAATAAGAATATTTTTTAAATTATATGATAATGTATAGGACTACTTTTATAACTTAACCTAGTATTTAAGACCAAAGCTCGTTGAGATATAACTCCGCCTGGTTGACCGTTTGTCTAAAGAAAAATTTTCATATTGTTGTTGAGTTCCATAGATAAAGCTGTGAAAAAATGTGCTTGACGGGTTAAATTTTAATATCATATCATGTATGAGTAAAAATGGATGTAATCTATAAGATTTGATTTGTGACATTTTTGTTTGGTTTTGTTGAGGAAAAGCTAAGTGGTGTGTTTTTAGTTATAGAACACGACCAATGAGATTGATTAGAAAATAAAGAAAACTCAATGTTTTGGAGAAGAAAACAAAAGTTTTAATTCATCGTATTCAATAAATGAGCGAACATAGCTCTTATCTACCACGCTAAGTAACTGTAATAATAAGCAACCCTTTACTGATATAATTACCTTTAGTTCCTTAGTTAGAATCTTTCTCCTCTATCAATTTGGAGTTTGAAGTCTGTTCTCAATAGTAATTGCCGTTTGAAGAGCTATTACAGAACCGTACATGAGATTTTCACCTCATACGGCTCCTTGAGGGCTATAAATAAATCTAAGGAGCGTGTCGGGATTATTGACAACTATCACGTATTTTGTTGTCAATTCAACATCTGTTTGTCAGCTTCATCGCTCGTATTCTTAAGGGTAGTCTCATCTCATGACCATAGAGATAAGGTCAAAATCTCGAATTATTACTTAATAACATGTTGGTCATATTCAGCACTTCCAAAACAAGAGAGTTTCAAATGGAACACGTAAATTGTTTTTTAACCATCCATGTATACCAGTAGCAATAATATTTGTTTTTGTACCTCTTTCCATCCGTTCTTCATTTCTTGACGCTATCACTCAAGTACAGGATAGGTAAGAAAATCAAGACCACATTCAAATGAGAGCGATTTTGATGATAGGATGATTAAGAAATGCTTAAAAGAATTGAAAGTCATTACCTATCCTACAAAGGTGCATCTTCTTTCTTGTGTTCAATCATAAGAACTTCGTATACTTTACTGGAAAAATGCATGTTAGTGAGTATAAAGCATGCTGGAAGGACTTGTGTTGCCTTACGTAGATAGTCTTCACTAGAAACGAGGAATAATTAATGTGATCTTAGATCATGCTGCAAAGTCGAATCCGTATTTCGAATCCTAATCCAAAATCTCAATGTGATGTCCCACATTGGTTCGGAAGGAGAACAAAAGACCCTTTATAAAGGTGTGGAAACCTTCCCAGACGCGTTTTAAAGCCTTGAGGGGAAGCCCGAAAGGGAAAGCCTAAAGAGGACATGTTCACTTTATAAAGTTAGTGACTCACTAACTTCCTCTTCTTCTACCATCTTCTCTTCAAATTCTTCCTCACTTTGATCAATTCTTCCTCACTTTGATCATGTTCACTTCCTTCTGTATTACTATCTTCCCATTCGATGGTATCAAGTCTAGCTTCTTCGGTTACTTTCATCCAATTTCAACACTTATTTCCTTCAAAAATCAAATCGTTGCTTACAACTATTTTCTTGGACACTGAATCATAGAGTCTTTAGACTCTTCACTCATCCCTAGAAGCACACACTGAAAACTTTTATCATCTAACTTCTTTCTATTATCGTCTGATATAGGAACATGGTTTGTACATCCAAAAGCTAAAAATAATCAACATTATGTTTTACGACACTCCAAGCCTCCTCAGGAGTCATATCTTTCACTACCACTATAGGACTTCTGTTGAACATGTGCATGTCAGTTTATTGCTTTTGGCCCTAAAATTCTTTGAAACTTGCTTCTCTAATAATATACTTTTAACCATGTTCCTGATTGTTCTGTTCTTATGCTCAGCTACACCATTTTGTTGGGAAATGTAGGTTGTAGTAAGTTGTCTACTAATATTATTAGTTTTGCCAAAAAAATATTGAACCCGTGAGAGATGAACTCTCCACCCTTATATGTGCGTAGACAATAAATAAAAACTTCAGTCTCTTCTCAACAAGATTTTTGTAATTTTTGAAGATAGTAAAGGCTCTGTTTGATGGGTTCGCAAATGTCTGCATGTACCAATTGTAGCCTGTGTATTGCTATCCATAAACATATCTTTGGAAATGCATCCCTATGTTGCTTTCCCACCGTGCAAGCACTGCATATGCAATCCTTGTTTGCACACATATGATTGCTACACCCTGAATCAAGGAACCAAACATCTTCCCTCGTTGGTTGGTTGAGCTCCACATATGACATCAAGAACATTTCTTCTTTCTCATCAATATCAGCATAATTTGCTTCCTTCTCCTATTGAGAACACTCATATCTAAAATGTTCTAACTAATGACACTTATAACACTCAACTGTAGTTTTGTTGAATGGATGTCTGCCTCTTCCTCAAAAAATTCTACGAGCTCGATCATCTCCTCTTTCGCCGCTTCTATTATTGTATAACTTCAATCGAATATATAACATAATCAAATCTTAAGGTCAAAGATCTCAAGATTTTTTCAATAATCCCCACTTGTTTCGTGTTTTCGCCATGAATTTTCATCTTATTTGCAATGGTGAGAGTTCTAGCAAAATATGCATCAACAATCTTGTTCTCTTTCATCCGCACGACTTCAAACTCTTTCCTAAGAGCTTAAGAGTTGTGCTCTCTTGTCTTTAAGCTTTTGGTTTGCAATTGTTTTTTGTTGTGCTTCGCTAATCTCCACTCCTTCTATTGTCGCAGGGGTTTCGATGTCACAACAACAATGTTCTGATAATAATTGTTGTATTGAAAGTAAAATCGATCACACCCTGTTGTACCCAAATACCAATTGTTGTACCAAAAGCGAAATGCCCAACCAATTGATGCTCAATGAAGAAAATTGTGACAAACCCCTTCACAGACGAAGAAGACCAAGTGGAGACACAGATCGAGCAACCACATGATCGGAGATCGAGCTATATACGTCAGGGTGTAAGGAGCATGGAGCCCATATTATTATTTAAAAATTGTTATTTCATCATGACATGTTCTATGATATGTTCATTAATCATTAGGATTTTCTTTCTAACAAGACGTGTTTGTAGCATCTTTAGAACCATCTTTAGAACCATTTTTAACTTTTTGAATCGTTTAAACGAAGGACAGTTTGGTTCAAAGTTTCATTAGATACCCATGAAATTAAGATGCTTGAAACATAATGTCTCGAAAGCCTTCCTTGTTCCCATCTCTGTCACCTATTTTGTTCCACATTCTCTCGAAATTCTCCACTTATTATTTTAAATGGGATTCCATTTAGAAAATGTGTCCGGACCTATTTCCAACTAATAATTTTTGTTGGTTTATTATCCTTTATTTAAAATAGTTACTCTAATTTTTTCAATATAACCAGTCAGAACATTTCTCACTATGAACGCACACTAATTCAGCTCACAAATTCAAAACCTGGGACTTATGGTGGCTTTCAGAGGGTTTTTCATCACAACGGTAAACTCCATCTTCTCCGACAGATCAACATCGTCACCATCCACAGCCTTCCATTCAAACCTCCATATCATATTCGCTAAGTAATATTCCAAATGAAGAATCCCCAAACCATATCCCGGACACATCCTCCTCCCTGCTCCGAACGGCATCATCTTTATCTCTCTGCTCCCCGTTACATCAAACGCCGCCGCCCCTCCTCCCATGAACCTCTCCGGCTTAAACGCCATCGGATCTTCCCATACATCTGCACCCCGACCCATCTCCGTCGCCATGAAATTTACAGTCGCGTTCTTGGGTATCACGTAGTTTTCGAATTCTATATCCTCTTTCACCCCTCGTGCTTCTAGGAAAAGCCCTGGTGGGTGTCTTCTTAATCCTTCTAAAACCACTGCTTTCAGATATGGAAGTTTCCCCAAATCCTCCTCCTTCACCTCCTCCGATGTTCCATCCCCCATTACTCCTTTCATCTCTGCAAAAATCTTGTGTTGGATTTCTGGGTATTTCACCAAATTCGCCATTATCCATGGCATGGTCGTGGCAGTGGTATCGATGCCGCCAGTGAGGAATTCCGAGCATAGACTGACCATTTCGCCGTCTGTTATCTTTCTATTTTCCTCTTCGGGGTGGCGTAATTCGAGAAGTGTGTCCACATACGACAACACGAAATCTTCATCTTCTTCTTTACCTTCTCTGTTTTCTTCTCTGTTTCCTCTGTTTTGCTTGGCCTTCCTTCTTGCTTCGATTAAGGGGATTATGACTCTCTCTTGGTCCTTTCTTAGTTGGAGAAACTCCTCCCAGCGTTTTGGAAGGAAAATCTTTGTCAATTTAGGCGATGAATTGAGGAGACCAAATCGACTAAGACTTAGCAGCATCGTACGCTGCACATTCTCCACTTCTTTGATTTTGGGTTCGTCGAGTTTATCCCCAAAGCACATTAGCACCAGCAAACAGAACATGGCGTACTGAAAATGATCAACAACACAGACGGGAGTTCCCGATTCAGAGTGGGAGTGAAGGCGTTTAAGAAGAATATCCAAAACCCACTTGCGAGCAGGAGCGTAGGACCTGACACGGGAAGGATGGAGGATTTGGGAAGTGAGATTGCGGCGGAGTAGGCGCCAGAGTGGACCGTAAGGAGCGGAGTGGATGCTGTGCTGGTTGCTGAAGAGAATTTTGGTCAAAGGAGGAGGTGGTGGGCGGTCGGCGAAGAGAGCGCCGTGTTGGAGGAGGGCGTTGTGGGCAATGGTGCGGTCGGCTATGAAGATGGAGATGCGAGAGCCAATGCGGAGGGTGACGATGGGGCCGTATTTGGCGACGGCGGTGCGGAGGTAAGACTCCAATTGGAGAGGCGATGTGCGGAGCCATAGGAAAGTGGAGATGATGGGGATTG